TATGTGCCATTATTTCCACAACAGAGTATTTTCGCTTGGAGAGGTATCCTAGTTCATGAATATGTTGCCAGAAAATCGAAACCTAACTAACAGTTAGGTCTACATCTATAAGAAAAGAAAACCGAAACCTAACTAATAGTTAGGACTTAGGCATACAATGTTTTCAATTATTCATACGCAGAAGCACAAGGAAATATTTTCAAGGTTATATGTTTATCTCCGACATACGAGTTTATCAAAATGTTCGGCCTGTGTGACAGCAACAAAATTCAAATTCCACAAAATATCCGTCCATACTCCATATCAGATATTGAATTCGTTCTTATCTTAACTCTATATGTATCGCCCTGCATATTTCTAATTATAAGCAAAACTAAACTAGCACATCGTCAATCTCGTTCTAAATACTCCTCATTCGAATACGAGGCAGTTGTATTGGTATCATATAATTCCAAGAGACAGTTGAATAATTCAAGAGTCATCTGAATTATAAGAGTGGAGGATATCGATAAATAAATATTATCATGATTCACCACATGTAACAAATTTTCACCAAAATACAGGAAAACCGGAGATAATCCACATCCAGATTCAGCATTCTAGCAAAGAAGATGTGCGATAAATTTTATACATTAAAGCTCATGATTCACACAATCCATATGTTGTCTAGTCGAAGTGTTCCCAATCCTGAGTTACCTTGGTAGACGATGGCATAGATGTCGGCACAAAAGACGGCACGGGCGAATGAGCAGATGATGGCTGAGTTGTAGGCGCAAAAGATGGTGACGGAGTAGTGACAGGTGGCACTGGGCTTTGAGAAGGGGCAGGAGATGGCAAAGGAGTAGTGACAGGTGGCACTGGGCTTTGAGGAAAAGGCACTGGAGATGGCAAAGGAGTAGTGACAGGTGGCACTGGGCTTTGAGGAAAAGGCACTGGAGATGGCAGCGCAGTAGTGACAGGTGGCACTGGGCTTTGAGAAGGCAATGGGGTTTGAGATTCGGGCTCAAATGTCTCCCACTTAGTAGTTACAGGCACATTGTTGTAACCATTGCTAAGGGGGTTTGAATTTCTTGACTTAAGGACATCCATTGTTTCCACAAAGCTCTGGACCCGACGAACCTGAAAATATTACCAGTTAATGTCATTCTATGTTTTGAAGGAAGTAACTACAAACACAAGTAACTTAAGCCACACAAGAGAAAATACTGAAAATTCTGTAATCTCAAGCCCCATTTGGAGATTATGATAGAATTTGATAGACAATATAATCAAAGATTGTCAAATGTTTTGTTTTGGGTACAGGTTTTAAACTCATGATATAAAAAAATGTCCCGGATTTAACCGAAGATTCTTAGTCCAAAATTAACCCCTATTATTACACAATCCAATGGAAGATTACCCAATACAAGGATTGTATAATCACATATTTCAAACATAAGATAATTACATATTACATTGTCATGACATCTATATCATGGATACCATAATCCTACCAACATTTCCAAACGAGGCCTTAGTAAATACCATAGCATGTATGTGTGTCGGTGTGTGAGTTTGTGTGTGTGTGTGTGTGTACATAATTCCGTATGATAACACCTAAAGAAGTTTCAGAAAACAAGTGTTTGCATGTTTTTATCACTGCTTGAACCGATTAGAACATTTCTACTACTTTTTCGTTATTTTATACCAGTAAAAGAAAATTAAGAATAAAAAGAGAAAACCCATGTGTGTGTGCGCATGCAGACGTGTAAGTGTCGGAAACCCTAATCTTCACTCCAACTAGCAGCCACTGTTTTTCCTTACATGCGCATGTCTTTAGTCTAAAGAGCAAGGGAATGCTTAAAGAGACAGAATACTAACCTCCATCTTTCTCTGCACCTTCCCTTCTCCTTCAGCTTCAATACCATCCAATTTGAGCAACTGCCTCATAAGCATCTCAGTCAAATAAACAATATCTTTATTGTCAACCTTCGTTCCACTATCCACAACAGCTTGCACTGCAGATATCTGTCGTTAAATAAAAAAAGAAGGCCACATCATAAAACAGCCAAGAAGCCCAAAAAGGTAGCCACGAGAAAGAGAAAGCTAACGGATATAAATTATAATTATCTTAGGAAGAATCTAAACCTGATCGGAGAGCTTGTCAACCTCTCTCCTAACTTCAGCAACAGCTTCACCTCCTCTTGAGACAACTACAACAGTTTCCTTAACTTCTTCAGGTTCTTCGTTATTGCATGTCTTATCCTCCACAAGTAACAACTTCGAACCATCCTTTACGCCAGCTGTCTGGAGATCTTCATCGTCATCTTTCTCTTTCCCTCTGAACAATAGTTTATGCGTCTCGGGTTTCAATCCGGTTTTTTGATGAATAACTGATTTTAGATAACCTGCATCCATCAGCATCAATATTCAACCACAGCAATATTAATGTTTCTTCAGAGAAACATAGCTATGAAGATCAGTTGTAATACAATACTTTGTTTCCTTCATTACACAAACCATTCGAATTAAAATATTCCTATTTCAGAACCTAGACAGTAACAAACAACTGATCCGAACTTTACCAGCATAAATACATAAACAACAAGAATCGACAAAAGATCGTAGGTTACCAAACAAACAAACAAGCAGGCAGAGGAAGTCAAACTCCACCTATTTTTAGCATTTAACGTTAAATGAATAAACATCCAACAACATTAAAGGATGAAGGACAAATACCAGTCAACATAAGTTAAACGAGCAAAATTCGAACCAATCGTATTCGAAAAGGAAATTGGATGCGAGGGTAAGCCATCCATTCCCACACTATATCACACCATAAACATGCCAAATTGGAGCAAATATAACCGCAACTAAATCCGCAATTTTAGCATCAATGTTATTAAATGGAGATCAATCACACACACACAAACTACATAAACACACAGTTCTCCAATAACCATAGATGCCAGAACCCATAACAAATTGCAGAAAATGAAGCACACGGTAACAAATCAGCTCTGCAATCCAACATATACAATAAAAAAAACACAGCATCGAACAATCAACACCAACTCCATTAAATCACGGCGTAATAACTGATCAATTGAAAGATTAAAAAAAAACAAAAAAGTTACCGAAGGTGGAACCAGATGGTACGGCGACTTCATGTTCGTTAAGCTCATGAGAGACCTTGATGCTAAAAGTAGCGGGCCCAAAACCGGGCTCCCTATCCGGCCCGATTGCTCCGACATTGTTGAGGTTTTCGGCGCCTGTATTTAAACCCTTCATCGGCGAGTTTCCCAGCGTAATTGCGCTACCAAAAAAAGAGGGTTTCCGCCGATTGCGATTGCGATTGTGCGAATGAATGAATTTGTGTATCGCCCAAGGTTTATTATACCTATGGAATTATTATTTAAGGGCAAATGCAGTCGGTTTATTTATTTACTTTTTGGCTCGGATAATTGTTACTGTTTTCACAAGTTTAATTATTGAGAGATTTGATTTCACTTAACTTGACGTTAATTTTCTAACGGTGATGTTTGACGTGCGATCTTTTAAAGTCGCTAGATGAAGCAAACGCGACATCTATAAAGGCCCAACTGTTGTTGGGCCGCAGTGTTTTGTTATTTGCAGTTTCACTTTTGAGCCCAATGTCAACAAATAAAGATAAAACATTATCAATTATAATTTGTTGGCCGATTCATAGGCTCCGTTTGATACAATTAAGCACTGAACACTGAATGCTGAATAAACAACTGAACTGTTAAGCATAATATCAGAATGCTGAATGCAGAATGATTAAGTTTGTTTGATAACTATAGATTTATTATATCTGAATCGTATAATTGTATAATATTAGCCCTCAAAATTGTGGACATATGTTTAAGAGTGTTCACTCGGTCGGTAAACCGATAGAAAATTCGGTACGCACCCAATAATGAACCGAAAATTATGCTTAGTTTTCCATAACCATTTTTTTTAATTATGATATTTGGTACGGTATACAATATTGATGCACGGTCTACCGTATCGTACCGAATACTAAAATATTTAATACTTTTTCCCTTTTATTTTAAATCCGTTAAGGTTATAACAAATTATAAAATACTCTTACACTTGATATTTTTTTCATTATTTCTAAATTAGCCTCTATTGAAATCATTTCTTTTTTTCTTATTTTTAGGGCCGATTGTTGTAATTTGAATGTCAAATTCAAGAATTAATTAGTTTTAATATTTAGTTTTAATTTTTTTTTTAAATAAGAAACTATATTTTTGCTTTTACCGGTATCGAACCAAAAAAACCAAATTAATTATGGTACAAAATATTGGTTTACCGAAATTCCGGTACGGTTCAGTACAATTTTATCGAATTAACACCCATATATATATATATATATATATATATATATATATATATATATATATATATATATATATATATATATATATATATTATAACTATTAATAATATATAAATGAAAAATTCACTATAACCTTTATAATTATTTGATCATATTTTTTTCACTAGTAATATCGAATAAATAAATAAATACCATAGAAGAAAATTTGGATTCCACTCTTCCAACAGTAAAAGGGCAATTCCTATTTAAAAATGATTATGAAAGGACAATTATGTGGAAACCATCTTTCATCTATAAAATGAATAATTTAATTTTCTATACGACAAGAACGAAGAAACAGAACTATAAGGGGAGGGACAAATTTTTTTACCACTGAACCAATAAGTTATAATTTTTTGACTGAATCGGTCAGAAGTGAATGGTTCCATTCAAAGGTGACTATCAAACACACTGAAATTATAATGTCTTACCGAATAAGATGTTAATAGTCATTAAGTGGTCATTAAGAGGTCATTAAGTGCAATCAAACAGGACCATAGTCTATATAGTTTTATTTGAGGGAAACGTAATTTAATATCAAGTTTAAATTTATAAATCTCTCTGTACTTAGAATCTAACCTTGAATATTTTACTTCAATAAGAAAAGGTTATTTATCAATGATAATTCAAACTTTGATCACAAACAATCCGATTAATTTGAGTTCATTTGTCGTCCATGGTATAAATGGCATAAGGTGTAAATCATAAATCAGACCGATCGAATCGGACTTAAGTCCTTTCCAAAAAAATCCAATTATTTTCGGAAGTAAAAAACTAATTCCAATTTCATTCCAACAAAATTTGAAAAAAACGAAAATCAAAATTTCAAAAATTGGAACGAACAAACTTGGTTCCAAATTTTTAAGTTATTTTTCACCTAAAATATAAATTGCATAATAACCTTGGTATTTTAAGTGTAATATTGGGGGGACAAAATTTTCCGAATTATTTTTGAAATATAAATTAGATTGGGAATCGAAATCTCATATATAATTCAAATAAATCATAAGAAAGAATTTCATAATTCTAATTGAAAAATATTGTTCCAAAATCGAAAAAAAAAAATAAAATCAGAATCAACGGAAATAAAAAATTCGTTCCAATTTCCACCCCTAAGGGTAACATCAAAGATGTTCAAAGATGTTCAGCAAATCACAACATTAAATTTATATTACAAAACTATCAGGAGCTGTCTGTTTTATTACAATTATACAAGCCAACTACACCACCACAAAAACAAAAATAAAAAACATAAAAAAGCACAACTGCACAACATACATAACCAAAAATTTCAATCTAAATTAATGCATAAAATCAAAAATTGGCTATAAGAACCGCCTCCCCCAGCACGTGCCCTTCAATTGCTTCCAACACTTTATCCGCAGTCACCTGCACAATTAAAAAAGAAAAAGAAATAAAAACTCCGACACTGATGTCATTAACCATTATTAATGACGTCATAAATACCTTGTGTCCAAGACCCAACACGTCATCCAAAGCGTACATCTTGAACTCGATCCGATGACCAGGGCCAGGTATCTTGGGAGCCTGCCACCCAACCTTCTTCAAATCATTATGCCCCTCTTTGATGCCGGCGTAATCGCCGCCCATCTCCTCCTCCTTGCCGGAAAATCCCTCCGGCAGCCCCTTCACCGTCGGAGGAATATTGATAACCACCCAGATCGTGAACGGCACGAGCGGTCCCGACGGTTCGGGCGCGTCGATGTCTTGTACGGTGAGAGCCAAGCTCTTGGTACCCTGTGGCAAGTTGTACCATTCCAGCGGCGGCGATATGTTCATCTTCGCACCTTGCCCCTCCGCCGAGTACTGCCGCGGCAGCCTCCCGTCCTGGCTTATGTTTGACGACGCCAGCCTGAATTCATCCCCTGCGTTTGCCATTTTTCCTTTTTCTAGATTTTTTTTTTAAATTATACCAACTTGGAATTAATATACTCGCCTAAAGTTTGATCTTATAATAAAGTATTAGTAATAATTTCTCGATGTTTTAGTTTGTAGACATGTGGGTTGTCTGAAAAGGTTCGAGTTTGGGAAAAGTAGTTATGTAAAGACACGTGGATGACACGTGGACTGCATTGGGAGAGTGTTGTATGCATGCATGCATGCATGGCCGTGGAACTAGTCCATGAATTTCTACGTGTTTGTGGTTGAACATAAGTTCCGCCTATACAAGTGGCTTAATTTCTTTTTTTTTTTTTTTTTTTTTTTTTTTTTTGGCACTTCAATACAAAATTAAATACATAAGACAACCGACCCAAATTAACATTACCGGAATTGAGAAAATTACAAACATTTATTTCCAGTACCATAAAATTATGGGCAAATTACAGTCTGAGGTAAGACAAAATTATAAAAACCCCTCTTATTAGCATAATTACAATAAACCCCCTCAACTATGTCTTATTTTACACGTGTACTCTTACAGTCACAAATTTACTTATTGGAGGGGTCTTTTAGTAAGACAATGCATAGTTGTGGGGTGATTGTAATTATCTAAACATGAGAGGTTTTTAGTATCTAAATTTCCCTGCTCTGCCTCTAATATGCGAAAATGGCGGTGCTCCAACATCACTGCAACTTTTGTTAGCCAAAGGAAATCCACACAGCCCTTTGTTTCCGACAAACGAACTCGCCGGAAAAGTTTGAATACGGCCGCCTTGTGGAATCTTTCCGACAAGATGATTGTACGACAAATTCAAGAACGAAAGAAACCTAAGCTCCACAATCTGCTTCGGGATTTCACCGCCAAGACCGTTAAACGAAAGATCCAACGACTCAAGTTGCTGCATTTTCCCTATCGAATCCGGAATCCGACCGCCGAGTTTGTTTCTACTCAAATTCAACGCTGTCATAAAAGTACTCTCCGTTAAACAAGACGGTATCCTCCCATGCAAGCTGTTGCTCGACAAGTCCAGCATCCGAATGCGACGCGCGTTGCAGAACGATGACGGAATATTCCCGGAGATTCTGTTACTCGCTATTGAGAAGAACACAGCTGTGGGCGGTGGAAGTGGAATTGGCCCGCGTAGCATGTTCGAATGAAGATCAAGATAATCAAGGTTTCCGAAACTATAAGGCTCTTGAAGAACACTGAACCGATTGTTCGAAAGATTCAAGAAACGGAGAAACCCGTTACCGACTTCCCATATCCAATTCGGAATTTCGCCGTTTAATTCGTTGTCTGAAAGATCAAGCATCATTAAAGATGATTGGTTCTTAAGCAGAGGAAGTTTATTCATCCTGCAAGAAGCCAACATTAAACTTCCTAATCTAGGTAACAACGAAGAAATCGGTACTTTTTCGCTCACACGTACCGAAATATTATTGTAGGAAAGATCAAGATTCACAAGATTTTTTAGATTGTGAAGATCAGTTAGCTCGAGGAAGCCACTAAACCTGTTCGAAGCTAGAGAAAGAGACGAAAGATTTTCGATTTCGAACAAAAACCGAGGAATAGAACCTTCTAGATTCACTACAAGAAAAACTAGCTTCAGGGACCAACATTTGTGGTTGGTAAAAGCAAGAAAGCGGTTGCTAAAACTTATAGCGACCAAATTAGAGTTGGTCACTTGTGGTCACAACAGGGTGGCTACTAAAAGTAGTTGTGACGAACAAACAAGTCAGACGCTAAAAGTCACCTATTTAGTGACCACCCAATAATGGTCATTAAATATATGGTCATTAGCGTCCAAATTTGACTCGCTAATGTAAAAAAATATGGTCACAATAATATGAAAATGGTTGCTATAGGTATACAAACAGTGACCACGTTGTTTTGGTCGGTAAAGAATATTCAATTAACAACCAAGCAATTGGTCGTAATAAGTTTTATATGGTTCCAATAGTTGCTCAGCTTAATATGATTTAGTGGCCATATTATTGCATAAAAATTCGTTGCTAAAATACTTAAACAGCATGCTGCAATAGTTTTTAATTTTATTCATATTATTGACCAAATTTAACAGTGAGAACAGTTGAATCGTAAGCTAGGAGGAGCAAAAGCCAAATAACAATCGTATGATAAAATAAAATTGACTAATAGTTTGTACAGATGATAAACTAATTAATTGTAATCAATGATTATTAATCTTTATACAATAGCATAAAACTGCTTGCAAAGTCAATTGAATTGACAATGACAACATTCAATTCGGAACTTGACTGCAACAACATCACAAGCTTCGACTGCCTCTTTTCTGGGGCATGTGGTCTTGAAACTGGATACAAGAACGGAATTAAAAATTACTACAAGATATATTTGGAGACTAATCAAGAATATTAGGTAATGATGTTCTCTTTAATGTTTGATTCTAATGGAACAACCTTAGAAAACTTCGAAACCTAACAAAATAAAGACTTTTCATTCAAAATATTTTTTATGATAAACCTTAAAAAAGAAACATTGTTGGTCAACCTGATGCTACAATCTAATGAGTATTGAAGTAAAATCAATATAACATACGCACATTTGCATACATGGTAAAGTTATATATAATTCAAATGAAACTGGGAAAAGATGCAGACAACTTTGTACAAAAACACGGACAAACTTTTGAAGCATGACATTAGCAACTTACTAATAGTTCCAAAGTGAAGGTTTTTGCTGGCTGCATCAGGAAAGATCCAAGCTTGCCATCTTGCATGCTGATGAAAACATGTTCAGAATCATATGGTCCAAATATCAAGTATAAAAAATGTCTAACACAATACAAATTTCAAGGAAAGTGGCTTGTTTCCAAATAGATAGCCCTCCTCAAGTACCAACGTTTTCTTTAAGTGTTAGAACTAGTGAAACACTATATCACATATCCATTATTTTTTACGACATAATTCAAAGTAAATCAGGGAAACAGAACAGGAATATAAACACAATAGTTTTCCATGATCATATAAGCAATGCAAACAAAAATGAAAATCTTAATGGGGGAACTGATTTACCTTATCCGTGAGCCACTAACAACAACTTCACTCTCAACTGCAAATTTGACACTCATAACCTATGTAAGGAAAATTATGATCCAAAAATCATAGAAACCCAATCAATGAATTTATTAGAAGGAACATGAAATGAAATATTCATATTATGCACCAATTTACCTTCGTTAAATGTCCATTGAGAGAAGATACTACCTTAAGGTCAAACGAACACTACAACTTTTGAATCAACTCTATCAATGATAAGGATATCTTGAAATTTATACAAATGGGCAATTTACTTTTTAAGATGATACTGTTTAGAATCCAAACCATAAAATAGTAGTCGATTGAGCTTTATGCACGTCTTTTAAAATCTCAATGTAAGGACAGAGGAAGACTACCTTGGAATATTGTAGCATTCCTTTTTAGTTGCATCCCATATTGTTGTTAATTCTTCGAGGATGAAAAAATAACCCAAGCCGGTCTTTTCATTCTTGTCGAAAAAAGAAAGAAACAAAACAAAAACTATCCTTGAAAGTTATGGCATATTCATTTAACAGGACACCTAGAGACCGCTCAATTTCTCTTAGGGTGCATTTGGATGGAGGGATTTGGGGGAGGGATTTCAAATCCATAATAACAAATCCCTGGGACTTGTTTGGATTGAGGGATTTGGAGATGGATTTCAAATCCCCACCCCTCCTTTTTAGTTGATTTTGGAGCAATAGTGATGGATTTCAAATGACTCCAAACTTGGAGTCATTTCAAATCCATTCCCCAAATCAAATCCCTCCCCAAATCCCTCCATCCAAATGGACCCTTACTGATTCTGAAAAAAACAATTGTACTTCAGCAATGAAGAAGCCAAATGTGCTAAAGTAATCAACAATAAATCCCCAGAAGTAATTTCATCAGTACAATCATCCTACTACAATTGCTTGATATATAACTACTACTACTACAGTTGTTTATATAAAAACCGGCCCATTGGCTCAGGATTAATCGCCAATGACAAAACAAAAACCGCAATTGAGTGAAGTTTAGTATTTTAACAAGTTGCCGAAAGCAGTGTTATGTGCAATAAAAATCGGGTGCACAAATTACATAATACATATAGTTCTTAACATAAGCAATCCCCATATCAAGACGAAGCAAGAAAACACATAACAAACATGGCCCCAGAAATGTCCCCAAAATGTTTAAAACCCTAACCAAGCAAAATCTACACCAAATACTTATTTGGTCCCGTTTAAATTTTCTCCAATACCTAAAAAATTAACAATTAAGAAATCAATTTCACTCTAAACAACCTCCATTTAGGATTCAATTTCAGTCACTAAGAATGATAAAATAATTTCAAACACTTGTTATAGACAGAGAAGAATTATACTATTTCATAATTTTATACTATATTCAGCTGAATAACTTCTAACGAAGAAGAATAAGAAGAAATATTTAAGGAACCAGAAAAGCTATTGTTGGAAAGATACAACACTTTAAGAACCGGCAAAGCGAACAGCGACGATGGAATTTCGCCTCCGATCGAATTATCGCTCAAATCGAGAAAATTCAGATTTTTTAGGCCTTTCCAATGTGAAGAAGAACCGGTACTGATTTTACCCGTTAATCGATTTCCATGGAGATTTATCACTGTCAGATTCTCTAACAGAGCAAAAGACGGAACAGAGCCGACAAACCGATTCTGAGACAAATCCAAATAGATAAGTCGAGATAGATTCTTGATCGAACCAGGAATCATACCAGAAAAACCACAACCACGAAGATCGAAATTCGACAGCATTTTCAGATTACCTAAAGACTCGGGTAAATCACCCGAAAAGTTTGTGTAACTAAGCAACAAATTCCGAAGAGATCCTCCATTGTTATCGAATTCAGGCAAATAACCTCGTAAATACCGATTCCCACTCAAGTCAATTATCTCAAGGCTCTTTATTTGGAATAGTTTCTTCGGCACCACACCGGATAAATTACACGAGCTTAAAGTTAAGACACTCAAATCGGAAAAATCGGCGAAAAATTCCGCGAAATTCGAAGAGAAAGCATTGCCATCGAGACGAATAACAGAGATAAATCGGAGTTTTCGCAACGACGAATCGAAAGGGCCTGTGAGATAAGTATTGGACAAGCTCAAAACTCGTAAATTAGGTATATAAGATGATACAGCATTGCACCAATTATACCCTTTTGCAGAAATATTAACCCCATCAAGATAAAGTTCTCTCAGATTTGTGTAGCTGTGGATCAATTTTTCTAAATTAGGGTTTTGGAGCTTGAGCGATGAATAAAACGCTGAGGAGAGATCGAGTGTAACTAACCTCGTTAGATTCGAAAAATCGAGTGGAATCTGACCTGAAAACCCGGAATTGCTCAGATTTAGATACCTTAATTCTGCCAATTTTCCAAACCCTAATGGCAGCTCGATTGAATCGAAGGTGTTTTGAGCTAAATTCAGGGTTTGGAGATGAACAAGCATGAAAAGATTGTCGTTGATTCCTCCGGTGATTGATTCGTTGCTGAGATCGAGAACTGAAACACGATTTTGATTGTCGCATTGAACTCCGATCCATTGACAGTGGTTGGTGGATTCGTGCCACGTGGCCAGCTTGGTTGAGAGTGAAGAATCATATGTGAGGCTGTTCTTTAACTGTAGCAGCAGCTGTTTCTCAGACTGGGCTGTGGCAAATGTGTAATTAATACCATTTGGGAGCAAGACTAGAATCAAGAAAACAGTTGTGAATATTTGAAATGATTTCATTTCTTTTTAATCAGTTCTGAATTTACAGTAACAAACTGGGAGATTGCATGAACTTATATGGAAACAAGAATCTTAATTTAAAACAAACGAAAAATCTTATAAATATTATACGTGCGAGTGGGAGTGGTCTTCTTATCTTCCAAGTAAAGATAGTAGAGAAAATGAATGTGGATAATTATTAAAAAAAAAATAGAAAAAAAAATGAGTTTGTGGGAACAATAATTTGGTCTACTTTCTCAGAAAATATCTCTGTACAAATGGTATTTATTTTGCCCAGTTTATTATTTGAAAGTTGAAGCAGAAAAAAAGATGGCACAAGAAATAATATTATTCTTATTAATAATACAAATACACTCATTAAAAAAGAAAAAGAAAAAGAGATTGATGATTGCAAACGAACACACTAGCCACGATTTCTGATTACTCTTCGTCGTTGATTTCTTGTCCCGTGTTTGTGGGGGAAAAGTCTTTCAAGAATTAGGTCTACTTTCTCAAAATATACATCTCCCCAACTCTTGCAGTGTAAAAGTAGCCAAAGAAAGCTTGATAAGCCCACAACAAAACCAAGTGCAACAGATACATAGCCCCAACCGATCTCTTTCTCGGACTTGTTTCGAAATTCTGGCGGTGAACTTACTCCATCCTCATTGCAACTTTTGTTAACCGGAAAGCCACAGAGACCTACATTTCCTTCATAAGAAGCTTCTGTAAATGTCTGCAATTGAGGGCCTTTTGGAATCATGCCAAACAGGTCATTAAAAGACAGGTTCAAGAATGCGATGAAACCGAGGCTAGCCAGCTCAACTGGAATATTCCCCGTTAGATTGTTCGATGACAGGTCCAGTGAACCAAGCTGTTTCAAGTTCCCTATTGATGCTGGGATAGAACCCATGATTGCATTATGAGATAAGTTGAGAAGATACAGAGATTTGAGATCTCCGATTGAAGATGGTATTTCTCCATGAAACTTATTACTCGAGAAATCTATGGATGTGAAGATTGTCAAGATTTTCGTTAATTTTATTTCCAGGCCTTTGATGGTTACTATTACTGTATCTTGATAGTGTAATCCATCGAGAAACGAGGAATCGAAACGAATAAGGTCTTTATTATTATTGGCACTTATCATTCCCCCCCAATTAGAGAAATTCAACACGGAGATATCACCGCTAAAGTTGTTGTGAGATATGTCGATTATTTGAAGCTTTCGCCACTCTTGTGTTGGTGCGGAAGGACATAGGAGGTTTCCGTAGAGTTCATTGGATCGTAGAATCAGGACACGCAGTCCCATCTTGGTCAGCATGCATGGAAATGTGTCTTCAATCCTATTGTTTCCAATGTTCAAAACTTCTAGAAACGAGCAATTGACGAGAGATCCTGGAATCTTCCCTGTCAAAACATTATTCTCGAGGTCTAATGTTCTGAGGCTGCACTTGTCTCCGAACGTGTCGGGGATGTCGCCACTGAGGTTGTTTCTAGCCAGACTCAAGACTCCCAATTCCAAATTATTGTTTGGTAGACAAGATGGAATACTACCGCTCAACGCATTACCAGACAAATCAAGAACTTGAAGATAAGATGCATTGCAGATGGATGTAGGAATCTCTCCAGTGAGTTTGTTATTCGAAACAGAAAAGAAGATTGCACGACGAATGAGATTGCCAATTTCATTTGGGATATATTTGCTAAAATAGTTGAAAGAAAAGTCCACATAGAGAAAGTCTGGAGGTGGGATTGGTAACTCACCCTGCAGCTGATTGGCATGCAAGTCCAGGATACTGATAGAAGGAGGAAATTTATAAGGCTTCTGAAAATCATTAAGCATATTGAAAGAAAGATTCACTTGTATAAGTGAACCGTCGCCGATTTTCCAAATCCAATTAGGTATCTGCCCTTTTAAGTGATTGGATGAAAGATCCAAGATGAGTAATTTTGATTCCGTGGATAGCTGTGGAAACTTTTTCAACTTGCATGATGCTAATCCCAAACTGTTGACCCAAGGTAACAAAGGCAAGTTGGTATTACTATCATCCGAAACAATGGAAAAATTATTGAAGGATAAATCGAGTCTTGATAAATTGGGGGGAAACATTTCCAGCTGTACAGTGCCGTTGAAAAAATTTGAAGAAAGCACGAGATTAGTCAATTGATCAAGTTGAAAGAAAAACTTGGGTATCAGTCCTTCAAGATGATTAGAGCTTAAATCTATTTCAAGCAGAGATGATGATAGGTTGGAAACCTCTTGAATTGGACCACCAAACTTATTGTTAGAAAGGTCGAGCGTTTGCAAGGATGGGAGAGCAAACAAATTAGATGGAATGTTGCCACCAAGTAAATTGTTGCCTAAACTAATAGAAGCAAGCTTTGGAAGGCCTTGAAAATGCATGGAGGAAATGGAGCCGGTAAGACTATTACGAGCAGCATTTACGTAAGTAAGTTTCTTGGACAAGTGAAATAGAGGAATCGAACCAGTGAAGTTGTTATCAGAGATGCCTACATGATCCAGTTCCGTAAGGTTTCCTATTGTGGGTGGAAGTGTCCCGTTGAATCTGCAATTAGACAAATCCAACATGGATAACATCACGAGGTTTCCAATAGAAGCTGGTAATGAACCTGAAAAGTTGGTTTCACTAAGTATAATATCCCTTAAAGACCCATTCAAAGGAAATTGAGGTAAAGTGCCACTAAGAAACTCATTGTTTGATAAATCAAGATTTTGTAAAGAGGGTATTTGAAAGACTTTTTGTGGGAAGAATCCATGTAAAGAGCAACGGAATAGACTCAAGGATTTCAGTTTGGAGAAATTTGCAAAACTGTTAGGAACTGAAGAAGATAAACTGTTACCATCAAGGCGGAGAACTGAGAGAGAACGAAGCTTAGCAAGGGACGAATCTATAGGCCCCGATAAATCGCAATTGCGCAAGCTCAAAATTCTTAAATCAGGTAAAGAGGAAGATATAACCTGGCACCAATCACTCCCCTCAGCGGAAATATCAACCGAGTCGAGATTAAGTTCTCTCAGTCCTGTAAGATTCTGAACAAGCATCTTCAAATCTGGATTCTCGAGTTTCATTGGTGGATTGGCCCAATCCGAAGAGGAGAGAACAAGACTATGCAACTTCCTCAATCCCAAAATCTCAACGGAAACTTGTCCTGTAAAACCAACATTAGACAAATTCAGGTGCGTCAACTGTGTAAGATTGTGAATCCCCTTAGGAATTTCAGTTCTGCCGAAGTTGTTGTATGCCAAATTTAGCTTTTTGAGATAAGTTAGCCCGAAGAGATACTCCGAATCTTCAATTCCGCCAGAGATCGACTCTTCGTCGAGTCGTAGACTGATCACATTCTACTCCATTCCAACGGCAGCAATCCATGGACTGGTTCCATTTGACCAGTTTTTTTGAAGATGAGGAATAGAATATTAAGTTGCTCTTCAGCCCCACTAACAGAGATTTTTGATCCTCAAGGCATTGGCTAGATATTTGAGATATATTAGTTACTGAGAGTAAAATAAGAAACAAGATGATGCCCATTTCGAAGAGAATGAAAAAAGATGTCAGACAATGTTTTTTTTTTTTTTTTTTAATCTCCCCGAGTAATAAGGAGAAATATAATTGCATATTCGGGAATGGATGGGCTTCCCTCGGGCTGCAACTACGCTCAAGAGTGCTTTGAAATGGCTGAAGAAGGAGGCTCGTGGCTCATGTTGGCGGCAAAAAGCGAAGAAGGTGGCCCTTGCTTGCACCGTTTATCAGATTTGGAGTGCTCGCAATCGGAAAATTTTTGAGAACGAGACGCCTAGGATTACTGAGATGGTGCGTAAGATCAAGATACTCGTTTACAAGACGGTTTTTGCCTTGTTTCCGCAATCAGCTTTGCAAATCGTGCATCCCTGATTGTTTTTTGATCTTTGGTTTGCACTTGACCCTTTTTGATCTTTGGTTTGCACTTGACCTGTGGGGTCTTGTTCATGTATAGGCATTGATATATATTTTTTTGATTACACTGCCTGGGTATGCACAGTGTATTTGTAAAGTCCGTTTTGATCTATATATTTCACATTTACCGATCAAAAAAAAAAAAAAAAAAAAAAAAAAAAAAAAAAATATAATTGCATATTTAAGAAGAATTGGGCCGGTTAAATAGCGGTCCCGGTCTCCATTGAGACACGACCAAGACCCATAAAAAGAGTTTAAAAACTAAAATAAATCATTGCATTCAAACTAGGAAACCCACACCCATCTTCATCTACTAACAACTTTTCATTTATATTATTTTAAAATGCCGTGTTGAACTCCAACTAAAATTAAATAAAATATATCACTGTGGACAAATGACTCTCAAGACTGAGCACCATATTTTCTACCCAAAAGCATTATAATATATGTGTTCTTTTAATACACCATTCAATACTTCTTTTAATGGGAATTAAGACAATCAAACTATTTTGCACCATTTGAGAAAAAACTCTCTCCTAATTTAAGTATGTTATTCTTCGAATTATGCCACTGCCATATCATTAGTATTTTTTTAAAAATTTTTTCTTCGTTTTTTAACTTTTTTTTTTCTCTATTAGGTATATATAATCGACTATGAAGCATCGTAGTCGATTAAGGAACTGACTAGTACTAAAAATAAAAAAACACAACTACATAAAAGCGAAAATCAACATTTTTTTTACAAAACAAATAATATACATAAATTATAATTGATTTATATATATATATCGGAATCAATACATAAAAATCCAAAAATGAACTAATAAATGAAGTCGATTAACCTTAATCGACTACCCAAACAGACGATTAACACTTAGTCGACTACCAAAGCGTAGTCGTTGTAGTCGATTAACTTACCAAAAAACACGGAGGACGACTAAAAATATAAGGACAAAACAATAGAGTTTGATGTAATTTAATCGCGGAGTGCAACTTCAAAGAAAAAAAAAACAATTCGCAATGGCAAATTCGAGGTAAATTGTCGAGTTAAATATTCTTTTTTATAGTTTACTGTTTATTCTGTTTAAATATTATTTTTCGATTGTACAGACCTTCGCCAAGATTATTTAGAACGTTGGTATGCACATTTAAAATTTCTATTAACTTTTGTAAAGTATGATTGTCGTGGAAATTACCAAAATCTTTTTAGAGTTGATGCACAGTTTATAATAATGACAGATTATAAAATCACAAATATTACACTCACAGGACATCATTTTCAATCAAAATTGCCCCACACGTATTCCACTCAATTTCCACACACATATTATTTTTTTCACTCAAAATTACTGACATGGTATTTATTTTACCAGAGAATTTATTCCTTGATAAATATATGAATGTAAAGACGGTTTATTATCTGAGAAGGTTCGAGTTTCGCAAAAATAGTTTTGTGTAGACACGTGGACTGCTTTGGGAGAGTGTTGTATGCATGCATGCATGCATGGCCGTAGAACTAATCCCATGAATTTCTACGTGTTTGATTTATTTACTTTTTTTTTTTTTGGCACTTCAATACAAAATAAAATCCATAGACAATCGACCCAGGAAGTTAGATGTTGCATCTGATTATTTACACCGAATATTTGGGAACAAGAGTATATCAAGAAAACAGTTGTGAATATTTGAAATGATTTATTTATTTATTTAATTTTTTTTTTGAATCAGTTCTGCATTTACATTAACAAACTGGAGGATTGCATGAACGTATATGGAAACAAACGAAAAATCTTGGCCGTGTCAGGCAGATTATACGTGTGAGTGGGAGTTGTCCTCTTATCTTCTAAGTAAAGATAGTAGAACGTGCATTTGGTGTTTTACAAATCAGGTGGGGCATAACACAAGGACCCGTACGATAGTGGTCAAAAGAAGATCTCTGTAAGATAATGAAAACTTGTATCCTTCATAATATGATTATAGAAGATGAATGGGAAACTGAATACGACTTATGGGAACCTTTACCTGAAGAAAATATTTTTCCTCCCGAATATGGTCGAAATCCATCAATTCTTGCGTCTTACATCTCAGCACGTCTTGGTCGAATTCGCAATCGGGGAA